TAGGTATTTTAAGATTTCTCATCAAAACCCAGGATGAATACAAAAATTAAATAGAACCTTTACATTAAAGAAAACACAAAGACAAAAATGTTCTAATTCTAAATTTTAGTTTCAGTTGCTAACCCCACCAGATTTGTAGACCTTGAGGTTGTCTGGGAAGAGGCTAGAAGTTGGAGATGAGTAAGGTCTGATTAGACAACCACTGAAAATAGTGAAAAGAAACCTTGTAATTTAATAACCATAGGATTCTAAACCTTCTATCTCAAAAAGAAAGCAGTAGGACCAGAAAGACTGCAGGAAAGAGCAACAGGGATAATCATAGTTATTGGATGGTTTTCATTAAAAACAATAACTAAATAGGCGAGGGAGTCTTAGTCTGGAGGAGAAAAGATTCAACGCCTTCAGCTTGATAGATGGAGAAAAATCTGCATTACATGATTGGAAGTTAATGACCACACTGAATGGGCAATACAGGAAGATGGTCTATGAAGCATAAATTTAATCAAGATGGACATAATGCTACCATTCATGGTCGTGGTACACTTAAAATATTCTCTAACCAACTATGGCGAAGCAAAATGTCATGGTGACCTGTGACTAGCATTCAACTGGATGAACTTCTATGGCAAAGGCAGCTCATTTCTTTCCAGACTCCAATTCTTTCTGCCGGAGTTTTTCAAAATACATTAAAAATATTTTACCTTAACATCTGTGAAACTGGGAAGAGTTGGTCCTTGTTGACAGATAGCAGCAATTTGACATAAAGGTTAATCAGTTTGAGGGGGTAAACAGGCAATCTGTAGCAGAAACCACAAGTGAACCTTTTTCTCCAAAGTCCTGTGTATCTTTGCCCAGAAACCTCTACCTGAAGTTGTTACTCATGTTACACATAAACCACTTTCATGGTCATTAGGAAGACAGCATATGCTGTACATCATCTCTGCTACCTGAAGGAGGCTAAAATCTCTTTGTTGCTGAACGGGCTTAAGCAAACATGCCACAGCCAACTGGTAGATCCCTGTGCAAAAGCCTGATGCAACAACTTCATAAATCTGAACAGTCAGGCACACCTGCACCAGATGGGGACCTCTCTGTTAAACCATACTCATTAACACCACAATACTTACACTGCAGTTCGTACTGACTGCTGGTCTTTTAATTTAGGAGTGTATTTTTTACCAGACTTCTAGATCAAGCAATAGAAGTTGTTTAACACTTCTGCTAAAATGCCAGGAAGAGGGGAACTGGGAAAGCACGTGAAGGAAACAGATACTTGGAAGCCAAAGTGCTTAAGTAAACCCTCACCAAACCAAGTTGGGTATGTGGCAGTGGGCTGGAAATCTGGGTAGAAGAGGATTTAAAGTGAGATACCAGGAGAATTTCCTGCATTGGGGCGGTTCCTCTTGTCCCAGCAACAACTTTCCCGATGATGTTCAAGCATCTCCTGTCAGAGTCAGATGGAGGGAGTCTGAGGTACTGATATTGTTGACATTTTGCCTTTCCACAGAACATTTCCATACAAGGAATGAATACTAGCTTATCAAGGTTAAAGGTCTAGGAAGAAAAGGCACAGGGCTAAAAAAAAATCCTGGGGTCAGCGGTATAGCTAAGGTTCAATTCCCTCCTGGAGGGAAAAACCTAACAGTAGCTACAAGACAGCTTTCAAGTAGCACTTCACCAGCTGACAGTGAAATGTAGCTTCAAGGAGTTGGAGATTTGACCCAGGCTTCTCACCATTCAAGGCAGTATTGTCAATGTGCACTATACAAGCAAGTGCACAGCAGACAGACCCTGCACAGAAGCTTCTACCCATTGACAACTCACCTGGCAGAAGTCCTTGGAGGCAGAGAGTTCTCATTTTGTGAGCCCCCATTGACATTTGTCCCTCCTTGCAACAGGAGGAAATGTAGTGTGTGACCTAGGTGGAGATGGTATATTCTGAAAACTAAGAAATATTAAATGAGAAGAACAAGGAACTCCCATTCATTCACTGGGTAGAAAAATGCATTTATGGAAAGGAAATAAACATGCTAGAGAGCCAAGGAAAGTTAAGGAATCATCTGAGGATTTCTAGTATAAACATAATCACTGGGACTTCATCCTCAACTGGCTTCAGCAATTCATATCTGCCCACACCTGAGTAAACTGGAAGTTAAATAGTCTCTCACTCATCTTTAATTGGCAGCTTTTTGAAAAAGAACAATCATGGCTAAAGAAAAGGGAGCGTCTTCACCTCTTCCTTTAGCAAAGACCATCTTTGCTACGGATAATTCTTGCAATAAAATTAAGATAGACAGAGATGCTTGCTTTTTTATATTTACCGGGGTGAGGAACCTACTCCAACTGTCCCTGTAATGGCCAGGACCATTTGATCCTATATCTTCCATTGGTTTTAAAGGGGGGTGGGGAGGTTTAAATTGAGAGAGGACATTTTCACAACCTCACAAGGAACATAGAAAATCTGCGCTTGGAAAATCTGGCCTGAAAATCTAAAACATCTAAGCTAGGTCAATCAGATTTTCAGATTCCAGAATCATAATTTGTTTTAAAAAATGTACTCAAGGTCTCTTATGTGGGTATTAGACTGAGCACTGGAACATTCAGTCCAAGCAAGTGGGATTCGGTTACACTGATTCGAGTGCAGAATAGGAACCTCTCTGACAAAATGCCTGTGTCTTCTTGGTATTCCTGTGTGAACCCAAAGCTGTGCTTCTGAGTTTTTCTGGGAAGGCAAAAATACATAGGTTCAGCCCCAGGTTAATTCTCAGACTAGCACTGTAGATAAATTTGTTTCACTGACTAAGCTACAAAGAAAGGAATTCAGTAAGGAGAATAACCAGAAATATCAGAGGGCAACAATGGATTTAAATCTTGACATGACAATAGACTATACAGGACAACATAAAGAAGAAGAGGAAATGACCTTGATTGTCTGGACATACTGAGTTAGAGAATGGGGAAAAGAGAAGAAAAAGAAGCCCCACAAATACTATTTTCATTTCTTAAAATGGACATATTTATTTGTTAAGATAATTAAATCCAAATTATAAATAACATAATAGTTACCTTTGAAAAATTCCATCAAAATTAAACAAAACAATGAGCCTGTCCCTTCTGATCATGCTCATTAAGACTCTGCAGCTATGAAAAAAGGCATAGACTACTATAAAATTGAAATTTGTTTCTGTCCACTTGCACGAATATTATAAATAAGACTTTCATTATAAAAATCACGAGATGCTTGTGGCATATTTTGTAAAATGCGACTAGAAAAAGACAACAAGATACTGTTAATAAATAATACATTCAATAACAAAGCAATTTTTGCTACTGAGAGACATCTAGACATTTTGGGGTACAGTCACTATGAAACCACCTGAAAAAGATACATTCTTCAAAGGAGCACTGCACACTACTTGAAAACGGACAAACTCTATTGACATAATAGAAAATACATTATTGCCGGGCAAAAAAAAGAGAAACCCTTAGTCCTTGTAACAGTGTTAGCCGACAGCAAACATTTGCTACATTGGAGAGAATTAGATCGAAGCCCTAATCACAAAATTCTAAACAACGATACGCTTTGTGATGTTTAACACACTCCACACAAGTACCTCCGCAAAACTCTAAATGACGACACATTTTGTGATGTTTAACACACTCCACACGAGTACCTCTGCCCCTGAGTATGCCAAAATGATGGTGATTCAAGGAAATGTTTACCCAAGTGCTCACATCATTTTGATACAACATCCAGCCTGTAAAGCTTACATACATCATAAATGATACAATAAATATTACATGCCAGTCACTGAAGGTAAGACAAATCCATGGAATTATGCAACCTCAGAGGCATAATGGTTTGTTTATCTACTTTAAAACCATCTCAAGACACTGAACTACCACATTACCATCACATTTTTCAATAAACTGGGCAAGATAAGAAGGAATGCAAATCAAAGTACTAGAATTACGCAAGGGCAAAATTCACCAGCTAACACTGACATCCCATATCACATCGCTCCTTTGGAGATATTGTGTGAGAGAGCAAAAATGACAATTATGCCCAGTGCATAAAGAGACAGGAGATACCCTGCGTCTGTCCTGCCTGGGCTACGGTATACCAGCATTACTACAAACCACAGAGTGATCCCAAGTCAGCTTGTTTCAACCAAACACTGAGCTCCTTCCAAACATACGTTTATGGTACGGTGCGTTTCACCACTGGTTTAAGCATCACTTGCTTGAGCACTTCACCAGCAGGAAGGTCTGCCCTCTCTTATAGCCAGCCTTGCAGGTAGGGGCATCTACAAAGCAGGAGGTCCAAGATGTGCAGATGGTATGACAGGGAAGGTGACAGCAGGGACCTTGCAGGTATAGGTGGAGGCAAGCAGAAGCCACTCACGGTCCTTCAAGCAATGCCTCCTGGGCTGCTTGCCTTCAAATAACCTATTTTGTTCCCAAAGCAAAACACCAGGGAGTTGGTATAACCCCAGTGATGAGCCAGCTGTGGGTTCCCTGGGCCCCCATGGCTGGGCAGGTGTTCCAGGATCACTGCAACTCAGAAATAAGGGAACAAATGTCAGTCCCTCCTGAAATCATGGACTTCTCATGAATACCTCAGTCAGGTAAACACAAAATTAGTAATTTTGAAAAACCTTTGCCTGGCCCATTTCTGTTCCAATCAAGCTCAAAACTCTTTCCTCAAGCTGTGTGCATGTCTGTGCGTACAAGAAACAGAAGGGACCTCTTAGCATTTTAGCTTGAACTTCAGCTTCCAGACATAAACAAACAGCAAACTGCATCAAACCACAGTCACTTATTCCCTGGCACAGGAACAGACAATTGAATTCTGTGGGCAGGAAATACACGGTATAGCATCATCAGTGAGCCCAACTGATCTCCCTGCCAGTGCAGCCCCGTGAACCCACCCCGGGGAAGAAGTCTGACCTGCTGGAAATGCAAATAGATTTTCCCTTACAATACTGGAAGGAAGCGTATTTAACTTTAGGAATACAGCATTTTGTTTATTACCACCCTGATGGTAAAGTTTACATTACCAGAATCTGAGACCAGTTGTGAACAGGGAGATAGACAAAAGAGGATGTGGTTCACTGCAAAAAACTGCTTTTCATTTCACTTATCTTTTCAGTATTTTTACACTACAGAACTCATACTAATAATCCAGCTCATGGACACAACATTCAAATAAAAACACATGCAGTCTTTTACATTCATCATCATCCACATGCTACATTTCACAGTTCATTATCAAAGCAATGTACCACTCTATAAAAATATCACAGCGAGGCACCTTTAATTTCGTTCATGTCTTTGTTTGTTTGCTTTTCTCTTGAGCTTTCAGAAACAGCCAGATGGAACCAGCACTGACATAAGTTAAAGCAAAGTGTCTGGTATACCCAAGAAACAGAAAGACTTAGATGTCCTTAAAGGATTTCCACCATGAAGGCAGGATTGCTGTGTCCCCTTGAACTGCCAGAGCTGGAGAATGTAAAAATTACTCTACAAGATTTCAGTTGTTAACTTAGATACTAATAACTGTCCTCAAATTTGTATTTTTTTTTAAAAAAATAGGTTTCTAAATAAAAATTGGAGACATTCCTATCCTATGCTTGTGGTAAAAAATCATAATTTACAGCAAACCGCACATTCAAACTTCTTGCTCTTGACCTTTAAGTGGCTAAAGCATGGCATGAAAATGCTTCGCACTGTCTTCCCTTCTACAACAAAGGAGAAAGAGCCTTGCTGCTATTTGATTGTTATAACTGTTGCACTTGAAGTTTCTTCTGCTTTCAAGAGAGCCCATGCCCTTGCTAGCTGGTCCCTCAGCAGATGTCTCGGCTCTGCTGCGGCACCGCGAGGCTGCAGTGCGGAGCCACTCGGCCAAGAGTAGCTCCCAGCACCCAGCTCTGGCGATGCGCTTGCTCAGGACCAGCAAAGGCAGAGCAGGGGACAACATAACCATTCTCCACGAGTTCCCAGCTGGGAGATTACCCAGATTCAAAACTATCCTTCCCCAGCAGGGCTAGTGAGGCTGGCTATGTCGGAGCACCGGGTGCCCCGTGCCCCAACCCGGGCAGGGAGCACGCAGCAGGGAGCAGACGGCAGCAGCTCCTGCTCAGCCCCCACCAAGCGAGGGCTGGGACCACGCTGCACATTTCATCCCGGGTCTCATATCACCTTCCACTGCCCCGCTGGCTCTCCTCTTGCCCAGCTGGATTGTGAGCACCCGGCAGTCCTGGGACTACCCAAACCTGTGCCAGCCCGGCCCCACTGCTCAGCACAAAGGTACAGCCCAGGCAGCACCCCTGAGCATCTCCCAAAGCCCCAGGAGGCTCAGAAGCCAGGGGTTGCCCTCTGCCCTCAGTGCAGGTATTCTGCACAAGCAGAACAAGACCCAGGCAGTCGTTTTTAATGCCCTGCTTTCTCACCCAAACAGTTCTCCCTCGAGAAGAGGATAAAACTTCCCTTCATTTAAAATGCAGACTACTAGCAAACTCTACAGTGGAACAGAAACCTTACTAAGTGCAATTCCTCCACATTACACATAGTAATAATTTTGGTATTGGATAAGAATCTGAAAGATATTCACTGCACTGAGATGCAAACAAAAGAAAAAAATGAAAAAATAATAAGATCAGTGGAAAGAATACAGGTACCAAAAACAAGAGGACAACTAGACTGGTTACTGATTCAAGTTGTTTATATCCTTGTCTGAGCTTGTAACTTCCATGAGACATAAAATGAAAATTAAAAAATTTTACCACCATGATAGTTACAGGCCATTATTAAGAAAGTTTATTAAATAGTCCTTGTTTTTTGCTGAGGTTGAAAGCAATTTTGGAAATTAATTTATATATTATTGATGCAGATCGACTATGAGTGCACTAAGATATTGCAAAGATTCAAGATTTGGCTGTGTGCAATTTAGGCTAAAGCCTGAAGACACTTACAGCCAGATGGTTTTACAAAAGCCAGAAGAATTTTCAGTTCTCAAAGACTTGTAATGGTTAAGAGGATGATAATTTGTCGAGACTTCATTGTTGATCATCATACATAGTATTATGAAAAGAAGATACTGTGCACAACACAGGAAAAAAGCACAAGACCAACATTGTTAATACAACCAGCATCTGAGACTAGAGTTGAGCCTTAAATATAAATTGTTGTTAAAAAAAAAGAGAATAATGAAAGATTTATTCCCTGCAAAAACTATCAGAAAAGAAAAATTGCAGTCAAATAGCAGGGGAAAAGATCATATCATTATATCAACAAAGTCTAACAAAATTATTTGACAATGAGTAGAAACATTAGCAGGCAGCAGATCCATCATCGACAATAAATTACTTGAGGATATCTATTTCCCAGATACAACCAGTCAATGGTGAGGCTTCACACTGTAGAAAAATCCTTTTTTCATTTTCACTTGGCTCACACAATATACCTGACAGATAAGAGCAGTACATGGATCACTTCTATGCAACTTGCTGAAACAAGGACATGACTTATATCATGATTTGATTTCAGACTGTGACACCTTAGTGCAGCAGATGTTTGAAATGCAGTAAGATATCTGCCTTACAAAAGTGACCAACAAATAGCATAAACTACTCATGAGTTACAGTTGTGGAAAAAAAATCAGTACCTTACAGAATAGGAACCTTTAACTAAGTAGCATAATCTGGCATTGCTTTAAAATATCTTAATTTAAAATTTTCATAGGATGAATTCCCTCAGGTTTGAGAACAGACAGCTGGTTAAAATCTAGGCAATTCTATTGACCAGAGGGGAATCAGAACAGCAAAAGAGAGCAAAGAACTTGGCTTATAAATTGAAGGGCAGGGCAGAGAGAAGAAAACTTCCTTTTCTCATTAAAATGTATGGCTTTTCATTTTCCTACAATCTATGTGTTATCTGAAGGTAAAGTCTTTATTGTACCTACTAACAATAAGGGTGGATTTTAACACAGCAGCATAAATTCAGTCAGATAAAAGGGTTTATTTGTTTGCTTGTTCTCACTGTTCAAAGCAGATAAATCTTTATATTTTATACAATTTCTGGGTTTTTCACTTTACTTCCCAAGCATGAGTTAACTAACTCTCAAAACATCTATGCTAAATACAACCTCCATTCACCTGACAGAGAAATCACCGCAGGAAGAAAGATTTCAAACATTCTGGGGTAAGTAGTATCAGAAATAAGAAAGCCTTCATTTTAAATTAATATAGTAATTAGTACTAGGAAGACATGAAATACTTCATACGAGCTTGCTTGCACTTGGTATTAATAAACCTGAAGTTGTTTATGTCTCTCTCTTACATGTTGAGGTTTAGAGCCCAGAGGAAATTTCACTGTAGTGCAAAGGAGATTTTAAACAACTTGTGAACACAGCAGGTTTCACCCCAATACAACAAGAACTGAGGGAAAGAGAAGCAAAAGAATAAAGACCCAACATCTGTTAATAACTTTAGGTCCCAATTCAGCCAAGAATTTAAATATGCGCTTGCATCCCTTTATCTTTACAAGACTGTCATCTTGCATATTTATCTCCTTTCTGATCTTTGTCTAGTTCTTTAGACACAAAGACTAAATGGCAGTACATAAACAGTAACAGACTTCAGAAGATCTGAATCTTGAGTTTTTCTTTCTTTTTTGACTATAATTGAGTATAACACTTAATTTTTTACCTAACGACACCACACAGAGTAGTCTACAGTTGGAAGCTTTGAAGAGATACGGACTTGAATACAAAGCTAGAAGTGTAGAATAACTTGAAAACCAGGGGAAACACTCACATATCTCTAACATATAGTTTGTTCAGTTATTAGTGTATTTTAGGAGAAAAAAAAATGGCATCTTTTCCACATGTAAAATTTTTGCAATTTTTTTTTTTCTCACTAAATGATTTTAAAGTAATTCTTGAAGATACTAATCAGTGTTTGAGCTATAAACTTCAGGCTATCAGCTATTTTGCTTATATTTATACAATTGTGTGCCTATATAGTATCTAGGCAGTCTACAGAGACCTCCAAAAAGGGTAGATAAGAGTTCTGATTGACACTTAATTCCATTTTTCAATGCAAAGTGAAGAGCAGTAACAAAAGAAAAATCTACTGTTTCTGCCTGTGCATGGAACAATTCTTGGAAATGCTTATGGGGTAGTAGTTTCAAGAGCACAGAATGCTGACCTAATCCAATACTGGCTCAATGGGGATTTCATTACTGATATAAATAAATACACAGTGTTTTTTGGAAGTCCTTGCCTGTGCAGCATCAGGCAGCATCAGTCCTTGCCTGTGAACCTTCCAGTGACATCCTCATATATACAAGTCTCATACTCAGATAAAATGGCTTTCAGATATGGACAGGTCTGTTTTGTAACAGGCCAAACCCTGCCATGTGACCAAGTGACCCACTGAAGGACTTACTTCCAGTCATTTCAATGCTCATTTCAGTTTTCAGTACATTGAAAGTCCAGTCCTCTAAAATTAGTCAACGTGTGATCAGGATCAAAGTCCACGCTTGAAGAGCCCTTGCAGAACTAAGAAATACCACTCAGCATATGGGAGGCATCAAGCAGGCAGATCTGAGGCTAAAATATCTTTCTTTATTGTCATTGCAGCACAGTGTGTATCATCTGCTGAAACTCTACAGCTCAAGAGGCAGCAATCAACTTGCGTGTTTGCAGGAGCCCTGACAGACTACGCCAAAATGGCATTCTCCTGAAAACTGGACATCTTCTGTCAGTTCTGCTCCGCACACTAAGAGCAATGGTTATTTGAAAAGAAAACTTGTGTTCTTGAAAAAAAGGAGTGTTTATTTTCACTGCACATAGGGATTATTTAAAAAGTGTTCAGGCATTTTCTACAAAAATTAATATATGCAGAGAAGAAAAAGAAGTTGTGATTACGGCACTGTCACAGCACACCAAGATCCTGGTCAAAGACATCCGAGCAGGGACTAAAATCTGGATCTTAGTGCTCAAGATTATACTGTTCTGATCAAAATCTCTTTTCCTCTGTGCATCTCTTTTCAGTGAAAATGTTTCCTTTGCTACCAAGGTAATCACACAATGACAAAGCTTCTCACAGAATCTACATTTCCTAACTTCTTGGTAAGAATTTAGCTTAAAAAATATTATGCATCTGTAATTGCTCCCTTCCAATAAACAGAAAATTATGCAACTCATCTTTGCTACGGGTCCCATCTGAGCAAAACAATTCATTGAATATACAATTAGAAATTAACAGGAACTATTCAAAAGGTACTTCAGTGTTTTGTTGAACACCAGCTTATTCATAAACCCAGAGAACAACTACTTGTGGTCTTGCTTTCTTACACTCACTTTGGATTCACTCATAATAGTTAAATCTAGTCTAAAAGGAAAAAGGGTTTAACTTGGAAGGTGAAGACACCAAATAGCACAGTAAGTTCCAGGTGGTCTGAGTGCTAAAGGCTCACTTGCCTTAGAGGGACCCAAACAGGATGAATATTCAGCTCAACAGAAAGTTGACCAACTTGACAGAAGCAGAGAGTACATGTATATTATTTTAAGATGCAGTTTTATTAGGCCCTTCTGAGACTTGCCAGTGATCAAAAGTGTTTCAGGGCAAGACACAGCCTGGTCTCCAAAGGGATGAGCTGCCATCATTTCCAGTAAGCCCAGCACTTAAGACTGTGAAGCAGGAGAGGGCTAACCTTGCCACAGGTAATTATCTAGGACCTGGTCTGCAACAGCACTTGCTGAATTGTACCCACGGCAGATCGCAGCGGAGCCACTCTGGTGACTGCCAAGTCCCAGCAGCAGCCAACAGCCTTATCCCCTCGTGCTGCTGCCCTGAACGTACCCGCTGCCTCCACCCGGGTGACCCAAACTCCTCAGACCCAGCTGGCACCATCCCCATGGGCTACGGGGAGCAGGTCCCCGAGCTGCACCCCGGGCCCCCCGCAGCGCCCGGCTGCCGGCTAGGGCAGCATCGCCGGGCACCTGGCAAAGCCGCAGCAGTACGCGCACAGGCAAACTAGACATGGCCAGGGAAAACGCTTCAGGTTGTGCTCTGGCCTGCACAGCTTAGCCTTGCAGACACAGCTGGGGTGTTTCCAGAGTCCCGCAGAGACCTCTGAATGCAGCCCACGTTCAGAAAAAAGCATGAATCACCACCTGGAGGTGCCTGACTCTCCTGATGGTAGAGAAAACCTACGCAAATATTTTCAATTAACAACTTTTTTTTTATTTTATTTTTTTTTTACAGCTGGAAAGACAGAGTGAGATTCATTTTTAAGTATATGCATTAAGCTGAAGAGGTTGAATACACTAGGGCTCAACCTGCTGTAATACAAATTGAAGAAAATGAATAATTGGGGAGGAATAAGTAGCTGTTTAAGTTCTCACTGCTGTCAAAGAAATATCAGCTAGGGAGAACACGTTAAGCCTCCTGTTGGATATTTGTGTTACACTCAGGAAAATTAGTTTGTTAATATTTAACAAAGAGGACAGTAAATCTTTTAATAATTGTTCTATTCAAAAACTACCAGAAAGTCAAACATCTGATAGATTCCAAGTAACAAAATTGGGGAATTCAAGGAAAGACAAGCTATTTTACAATGTCTGCTTTGAAAAACACAGCCTTCTTCCATCCCTTTTCCGTTTTCCAGTGATGGAATTATCCACACCTAACCAAAGTCATATTTTCAATTTGGAGCTAACTCTTGTTGGATTTATCAACACTTCAGAAGATGATTCAAAACAATAATGTATATTAGCTACGTTATGGCTGATTTTTTAAATCACACTTCTACCCCAAGGAGAATGGTCATCAGGAAGGATAGAGCAGAGATATCCTTTAGGATGACTTCTTGGGGCACAAATACAGGTCCAGATGATCCCAGAGGGAGATCTGATGGAACCACATGACATTAGAAGCAGGTCCCATTAGGGAGGTCACAGCATACCACAACAGCCTCAGCCCCCAGAGCACCCCCCCAAACAGCCATGGAGCCAGGGAATAGGCATTTCTGGACAAGGTCTGATGAATTTTGTTTACTAGGAAGTATCAGGTATTGGAAATATCACCATGTAACTTTATGAAGGAGATAATGACTCAGGATACTAGCTCGTTAGTCCATTTTATATATGAATTTTGGGGAGGGATTGGCAGGAGGGAATGGAAAGAGATTTTTCATCATCGTTCTTTGTTCCATTGTATTTCCCTTTCCGTTTAATCAGTTTCCCCTCCTTGTAGCATTTTGCTTTGCTGCTGTCCTGCAGAAAACCATCAGTAGGTCATAGGTTGTCCATTTTTCACAGTCATTACCAAATGAAAATGTCCTACAGTTGCTTAGAACTGGGGATTTATTATCAAGAATTGCTACACTACAATTTGTTACGCCACTGAATTGATCTTCCTTTTTTCCAGCACCACCCAACTCTTCAAGAACTGCCTGTCCTCCATACAACCTGGACTTCTTCCAATACTTACTACTCCATTGAGCTGAAGAAAAGAACCAAAGCAGGCAGTTCTGGATCAGAAGTTTCTTTGCTCGTTTTCTCCCTACTAATTACAGGCAAGGGTGAGCCAGATACTAAAACAATTTCCATGAAGATATATAGACAAAGGATTTTACATAACTACCACAGTTCAGTCATTCAGTTTGAAAAAGCAGATCCTTTGCTGAGTTCCAGCTCCCACAGAGGTGTAAACTCAGCAGGGTATGTTATGACACCATTTTGATGAAACTAACAAAAAGGTGAAAGTAGTCAAGTCGACAAAATGGCCAATATTTCTATATTCTACAAAAGTTAAGCTGTAACAGAGGCTTGGACCTTTGACTTTTGTAGCTGGTTCACCGCAAACTTGTTATCTTCATTTCAGCAAAAATATAAAAATACATTTGTGAATAAGAGTCCTTAGATATTATAGCAAGGTCTGTGCCAAAATTATAAATGTTTTTATTCTCACAAGCACACACACCCCTTCTCTATGATTTTAGTTTGCTGGCTTCTGATTTCTTGTCTGTTTTAGAAGGAGCTCCAAAGGCTTCATAATCAACAGGAAGGAGGTTTACATAGTTTTGGCGCAAGTTCAAAAATCAGTCTTGATTTACTCAAAAGCATATACAGCCCAAAAAGGATTGTATCTAGAGCAATTTCAGTACATGAACAGCTCTTGTAAAGGGATTTAATTTGTTCTACTTGCAAACATGGGGCAATGCTTCCTATACAGAACAATGATTCCAGCACTCTGTAACTTGTCACTTCTATGATAAAATTAATAGCTAGGAACATTAACAAATAATTTGGCCAGTCTGAAATAGTTTTTATTGAAGATGAATTGCAGTAGCTTTCAACCTTGCAAAAACTTGTGCAGCTTTAACTATACTATCAGAGAAATTCAGGGACTGGCAGTGGAAATAGAGAAGCCAGAGTAGGGAATTCCACTAACAAAATAAACGTTAAGATTTCAATTTGCTTCAAGGAAAATACAGCAATACAAGCAATGAGATTCGAATAAGGGCACTGACATCAATGAACTGGAATCAATCAATAAGTAAATGCTGCATGGATATAAACTGTCTGCCCAAAGTTTGCCTTGGCTGTGAGATGCTGATTTCTCATGGCTAACCCTTACAGATAGCCTCCTGGATTTGACTGTGCCTGTCTTTACGCAGAAGTATGGTCCTATCCCATGGTGTGACCTCCCTCTTGAAGAACAATACAACTTCAGTCCCTTGCATGCAATGCCATATTTCCCATCAATAATCCTATACATGGACCCACACACACACTCCTAGAGTTAGACAAGGCAAGCTTCAGGCTGAGCAGCAGCATGGACAGAGCATATTGACTCCACCATTTCTGTCAGACAGCTGCTACTCTCATGCTCCCAGCTGCTTTGCTTTTTTTCTTTTCTTGTGACTGCTCTTGCCACAAAACACTTGCAGTACTCTCCTACATCCCTTTTTACTTGCTGAGCAAAAGGCTGATCGCTGGCCAGTGTTTCCATGGACTGACAAGTCAGCCATCTAGAACAGATTTTGCTCTCTCAAAAGAAGCATTTATTTTCATTTCTCTTCTTTCCTCAGCTGTCAGTTTTATGGAAGTTATAGAAAATTATTCATCCTTGAAGCCTTTAGTTCCCCATCAAATGTAGTTGTCTTTGTAAGATGCAGTTATATTCACTATACATAAATGTGAACAGAGCCAGAATTATCAATTTCTCTAACATCAGTCACACATCACACACAGCCTGGGTCTCACCTACCTCCATAATATTTTGGAAGTTTTCTCTTTGCAAACGTCACGACTGCAGACACCAGAAGTGACTCAGAAAGACCACAGACTACATGTTCAGTTTGCCTCAGACTTACAGAGGTAGGAAATACAACATCTCCAGATAGCCAGGGTGCCAGTTCAACATGAACAAGCCAGACATTATGAAACACTGCACAGAGTTTTCCTACAAAAATACATGGTTTTCTCTTGTTTTTCTGATTATTTTCCCAAAACATGGAAAAAATATTATTACCAAAGGGTTGGAGAGCTGTCAGAGAGTTTCAGAACTAAATTCCCAAGTATTGGTAAAAATACAAAAAAAATGAGCAGCAAAGAGGCAGTTCCCCCTACTCTCCCCATTCCGTCACACCTCTAAGGAAATGCTGTCATCCTGCTGAAGTGCCATTTTAGCACACCATATTTCAACTGTTATTCTCACAGATAATGCAATCTTTAGAGCACTAAAAAGTGTGAAACTTGACGTGTACAATAAAAACCATACAAGCACCTCTTCTTCTCCAAGAAAGGCAGCTCAGTAAAATTCTGCCACAAGCACTAAAGAAATTATTTTACTTTCAAATCCCTCCTCATTGAGTACCCACATCATATATCAAACAAACATAACAAAAGGGAACGAGTTATCAAGTGACATTCCATCAGTGTGTTGACTGTGCTTTTAATAAAAACCTGGACAAAGATAAAATGAGTTATAGAAGCACATTTGGATTTTACCAGAACAATCTCTAGAACGCTATTTAATCCAAATCTCCATGTTATAGTTTAGCACAGTCCTGTAATCCTATGGAACAGTGCCCACTTTATTCTTGGAATAGCCATATTAAGAAAGACTTTATTAAGAAACATAGGTTTAAAAAGCAAAACTTTTTTTTTTTTTTTCTGGTGTCCTATATACATAGCTGAATTATTCATACTTAAAGAAGAGCCACGGATTTTGCTTTTTTTTTTTTTTTTTTTTGTTTTTGTTTTTTTAATTATATCTATATAACTTGCAGCTGGTAGTCTACAAAGAGAGACGTTATCAACATATGACAGGACACATCCCCCAAAATACTAGCACTTTGGAGCTAAAACAGGTAGCACAGGAAATTGTTGTGGAAACCCAATGACAGTTTTGTTGTTTCAACACTTTGACTAGAATTTCAGCTACTAATGATGGAAGGACAAGAAAGAGAACACTGATCTGGATTTTTAAAGTTAATGGTGATAACATCTCGCAGCTGAAACTGCACTGTGGACTGAGCTGGTATTCTCTTCTTGTCCTACAGTGCTAAACCAAAGCAAACAAACAAAAAGATTTCTCATTTACATAGCGATAGGACCATCTGCTGCCCAAGTAATAACCCAAAATAAAACAGTCCTTCAGGCGCTGCGCTGGCCGGAGCAGCGTGTGTGCAACGCGCACACTGGCATCATTCACCCACTGTGAGGAGAGAGGCTGCCTTACGTAAGGGCCTGATGTTTCCCTTTTTTCTTGTTGGCTACACAGCTTTTCAGTGCTCCCAAAGGCTGTTTTATTTTTCAGACTATCTCTAACCACAGACAATTTTGCGAGAAAAGTACAAATCTTTAAGGCTAACGTTACAATCCAAGCAGAAGAGCTAATCACACAAAAAGAAAGGATTTTCAAAGCTTCAACTCATTTTAAATGATGCTTACATTCATTTCTGCAGTTTTTCTGCTATAAGAAAATGAAGAACCTCATTCTACATTCCACTGAACACCTCAAATCCCCTCAACAGTCAATGAACATCTGGAGTCCAAAAGAATACAGATTTAATCCCTAAGGCTGGACAGCAAAACAGGTCAGGAACCATCCCTACTACAAAAGTCACTGTGGAAATCTTGCAGCAGGTCAATTGAAACCAGACCGCATTTCACTACTGGCTTTGTAACACATATATTTTAGTTTCAGACCCATTTCCCTTAACCATCTCTTACCCACAGTAAAGCATCAGCAGAGCTGTAAGTGCAACGACCTAAACTATCCTGATAAAATCTACAACAGGTAGGTTGATCCACACTCAGTAGCAGGGCATTCCTAGGACATTCTTATAATCAGATTCTTAGCACCCTTCACTCTCTCAAGAGTCTTCAGTGGAGTTGATGGTACTCTGCTCCTGGGGGTTTTAGGCCTTTCCTTTTCCTTCCATTGGGGGGGGAAAAAAAAAAAAATAGAAAGAAACAAAGTCAACAACACACATCTGCTCTCCTATACACACACACACCCCCAAACAGAGAAAAAAAAAATAAAAAAAGGAAAAAGGAAAGTTGTACGAGGTGCCAATCTGGAATGAAATGGATTTTTGAACAGACAGTCATATTTGGCACTGTCAGCAAAAGTTTGTGGGTGGCCCTGTGTCTCTCTGAGCCTTAATGCCCTTTTTACATCAGTCATTTAAAAATGTTCCCCAGAAAGGTTAGCTGTGCTGCTTCTAACATTATTTTCAAGACGCTGCTGAATGGACTTGATGGAAAGATTCACTGCCCCCCACCACAGTTCCACAGAGCACTATACATTAAGGACATATTCCATTCGGCCTTCGAGTAGCACTTTTATGGTCCATGCAGATCCACAATTATTTTCCCTTTAAAAAGAATCAACAGAAAACAGAACTCTCATTGGAGAGCATGGAAATTAAAAACTACTGGATCTCCCAAACCAACTCCTATGATCCTCAGGCAGAAGACTGGATTAAAGGGTCCTCACACGGTTCTAGCTGCATTCTCAGTACACCACTTTTATGAAGAAACCAGAGCTGTAGAAATTCCTCCGGCATGGCGTGGAATCCAGAATCAGGCAAGACATTGTCATAGTAATGATGGCTAATAAACTTCCCGTGCAGGTCCACCGAGAACGGCCAGAAGCCATAAATTGTTACTTCTTCACAGAGACCAAGGGCAGCACTGACTAGGAAAAGTCCTGTGGAAAGCCGTTTGGCATGGATACCTTTGCTCTTCCAGAACTTGCCAATGTCACGCAGGAAATTGGGGTTGGCAAAAAGAACTGCCTGGTCGGCACCGAAGTCCTCCAGGGTGTAATAGACACGTAGGGAGGGTCCTGTCCCTGTCTTCATCGAGAAGGCTGGCATGTAGATGTAGCTGTGGTTATACACCTTCACACTGTCCACAAACGCTTTGCGAGACCACAGCAGATTCTGGAACCTGCGAACAACAGAGAAAAACAAGTTGGTCACACACAGGTTTTCCCAGTCATTTCAAAACCCAGCTAAAAGCATATTTACAATTACCTGCATACCATTCTCGAGCCCAGAGAAAGTCCAGACAAACTTCTGACTGTCTGACACTGCCTCTCTTCAACTATCTATTCAGGTTTATGTTTTTAGAAAACTATCTGGTATCCTGCTAACTCCAAAATCCTAACATTTCTGATTTCACCTTTTCAAAAAACCCATAATGAACACTGACAGTTTTCCTGCAAATCAATCATTTTTAGTGACATTTTTCTTTCTGTCCTAAAACCAACTTACATTTTCAGGCACAGGAATCTTTAAAAGAAATTTTATAGTCTGTGTTGCTCTTGCTTCTTAAAGGCATACAAAAAAGAATCCAAGTTACATGCTGAACAAGCAATACCAAGAAATATTTAAATAGAAACTTCGGACTTCTAAAACTTACAAGAATTGTTTTTGTTATGCCTGTATAGCGATTTGCGTTGTACTACCATAGTAGTTAATTCTTCTTCTGGAGCAGAGAGAAATCTCAAAGAACACACTTTGTTACAAACAAGTAAAACAGAAATCAATTAATTGTTTAGGATAAGTGGCACCACAAAAATCTAGCAACAGGCACCAAACAATATTCAGAGTTGGTGTTTAAGACAGCAGGATTTACACACTGATTAGGTTTAAAAGCAGATGGTATTTGTAGCATGCAAGTTAAAGGAGAAACTAGTTGGCAACTATGAAGAAGGCAATGTATATGTACAGATTGTTCCTCTAATATGATAAATCTTCTCATCTCTTGATATAAAAACTACATCAGGTTAGTTTGTTAAATTGCCAATAGCAATTTGCTGATGTCTATTTTATCCCTGATGTTAGGCTTCTATACTACTCCAAAACCAGTATTCTGTCAAGACTATAACCTTTCCTTGCCATATGCTTCTGGATATGCCAAGATGAATGAGACATCTGGCATGAAATCTTAGGTCACTCACACACACCAAAACCTGCACTGATGTTTGACCTGTCCTGACATCCGACACTAAACAAATCGCATCTCAGTGAAATATTAAAGTATCCCAAATATGTAACATTGGATGTAACTGATATGGACGTCAGCCAGAGCCATGAGTACAATCCATTACCTAAACCACAAACTTGCAAAGTAACAGGAGCACTTGCTGTCCTTAGGTGCAGACTGCACTGGAGGACACTTTTGCATGAGAAAGTCACTATGATTTTAGTCTCGATAATCTGCTTTCTTCCCAGAGTCCACGCAATCTTCAGAATGCCAGTAAACCCTCCCCACCTTTACCACATGACAGCATCTATAGCCTTCAGCATGCACACAAAGTTTACTACATTAAAAGGCACTTCTGCACAAGCCTCACACGCACTCCTTTCATTGCAGCTGGGTTGCTCTCCTGATCCCTAATTTTTTTTCTCAGCTCCCAAATGCCCAGCTTGCCCTTTGTTGCTGCCCCCTCACTCTCAGTTTCCTGCAGTTAAGGTAAATGTGTCATGACTGATTTCATAGTCACGCAGCAGAGGAGTTAGAACAGCAAGTTGAGACAGCAGCACTGGGTTTTTTTCTCTTCTGTGGTGCAGGCAGAGAGATAGGTATAGGAATACCTTTTTTGAAGTATTATGAAGAGATAATTTTGTGTATAGACCTCTGTGAAACAACAGCAAGAATCATACACATAGCAAGATACATTGGTTTAAGTAGGATACCAGATGACCTCAAGAAGCACTAGATAAAGTTTCAGCTGAAACACTTCCAAACAAAAAATACAGCTTCAACAGCATTGAAATGTCTCATGAACACGTTCCAGGTTTTTTGAAGATTTTGTTTTGGCAGAAAACCTGAAATATTCCTAATAAGTTGAAAGGTTTTGTTGACATTTTCAACATGCCATATTTGGTCTCCTGATCTGCTACAAGTTTCTTTCAAAATTTCCTTCAAGTGCAATTAGAATAAAGGTATTTTGAAGTAAATCCTCTGGCTTGATCTTCATTACTGTTTTGCTCTGCAGATCTGCTCCTACTGCAGGTGCTATTTGCTAATGTAGACAAATCCGCTGTCTTCTGAGCAAGAAATCAACTCAACCTGAACATTCAAAACAAAACAATAAAAATAATTTCATAACTTATTGCATTTGCATTCTTTTCTGTAGAAATAGACAAGGCACAGCTGAATATAGAAGGCCAGCCACGACCAAGGTGCTGTGACAGAAATTAATTGTCTGGCTGTACCTTCTCATATGGGCCCTCTCACTCCATTACTATCAGCCCTGTAAGTAACTGTTCCCCAAAACAGCCTTTACCATCTTCTCTTCCAAAGAAGTAGCAAGACAACGTGTCAGATTATCAGGTACAGGAGTTGGGTCCATCCTATCAGACTTTTCCATTTCCATCAGGGCACAGTCATGGAGCGTTAAAAAAAAAATCCCTAGTTTAATACTCTCAATACTCAGGTGCTTAGAGCCTCAGTATCCAAACCCTGTTCTAATAACTATAATTGCTTATAGAAGGTAGAATAAGACTAGCAGCAGGCTCTCAGACTATCACCCTGCCCATAGCTTGGGACACCCACTGGGAGGAGGGAGATGGCAGGTTCAAACTTCCTTTCACAGTAAAGGGAACTGAAGCACACAGCTTGATGCGATGGGGTCCTTGCACCTTGGCTGAGGGGTAGGCACAAACAGATCCTCTGTCACTCCTGGAAGCCAGTTTCACCATGTCATTTCCCACTTAAAACCAGTTAACAAATTTCACTTCAGATGGCAAATAGATGTGGTTATTCCAAAACTGCATTTTTCAGCAAATTTACCATACACAGAAAAGCACTGCACAGCTCTAGGACGAATACATTAAAATTGCTCAGATGCAGTCACAGAGGGCCAGGGACTGTCTCTGAATATTCATTTGCTATCACTGCCACAACGCGTTTACATTTCTTCTAGATGAAATCTCCCCAAATGCCTTAAAGTAACGAGAAGTGAACGGCACTGCCGTGAGCGCGGTGCATGGGAGGGACTTCACACAGAAGGGACAGCACTTGTCATGCTGCTGCAAACCGTCCCTCAGGAACATCACTTCCTGGGAGCCCGCGCCTCACGCAAATGATCTGGACGGCGGTGTCGGTAGGCGTCACGCCCAGTTCAACAGATGGACATTATACGGGTGGCCAGGAGCCCATGTAGAAACATAAAACATGCTGATTACAGTTGGTCTGAGGGCCTAACACAGCCAAAAAGCTGTTGCCCATCTTGCGCTCCTCCTGAGGGGAGATATTAGAAGCAAATGAAATTTTCTATTTCCCATCTGTAAAAATAGGAACCCTGTCCAGCTTCTTGACATTTCACAGGCTAGTCAGAGGCTGAGAATTCTGGGGACAAACGCTGTGCATCAGCAAGTTTCTGGAAACTCAAGTATATTTTCCTTTAACTCCCGATCCAGACAAGGGGATCCTGCGAGCAACTCCATTCCAGCTGTGGCTTTGAGGGTACCATACCACATCCATCCAGCAGACAGCGAGGAGGCTACTCTACGCCTGACAGAGACCAGGCGGGCTTTTCCCCTGCAGCTGACCAGCTCTGTAGTGCACATGCAAGCATGATGACAGGTTTTGTTCCTGCTCGTCCTGGCATGGACGCTGCCAGCCTGGTGCAGTCCTCACATCCAGATGGGCACAAACGTCCTCCCTCATGCCAATCCTCACCCAGCCTTCTTTGAATGAGGAACCGCCGGTTCCTCGTTAGTGCTCGCCTCTACCTGACATGCTTCGAACATCAGCACTCTCAGTGGCAGAGCCCAGAAGCTGTGCAACTCCTGCCCATGCACCGGGTGTCAAAAGAAAAGCATCAAATGATCCAGCCCCTCGTGCAAGAGTGCATCTCAGGCAACGTTACCTCCCCAGCTCAGCTCTGAGCAAAAAACGGCTGAGCTGCTTTCAAGGTTGTCCTCTGACCTTCTGCAGTCAAGCTCACTCAAACATGTGGTGGGTTGCCAGCATTTAGATGAAACTGGATCTGGAATATCCCAAGCCCTGAGCAGCACCTGAGGACTACACAAGTTGCTCAGTAATTTGCAGTAATGCGTCCCGGCAGCTTGACGGCAGCCCAGAGGGGTGCCGATGACTGTGAATGCTGGTGATAGCAGATCAAGGCACGATCAGCCTGGGCGTTTTACTTCCTCTACTCTCATTAATGGACACCAAGCAAATAAAATCATCAACAACACATTTTTGCTGTCAGGTACATATGACAGATGATCTTAAAAAGCACAACATTCAACAGGCATGTGTAGGCTGCACTGATATCAGAGAAATAATTTCCTTGATACCAGCTGTAGAGTTCTGTCAAATGCTCTGCTCTACTCTTCCAGATAGAATGATGCATTCAAGAGAAAATTGCCACAGTACATTGTCATGACAGTACAATCAAAGACTTAAGAGCATTAATTGTTTTGGGTTTTATTTTTAATCTGTTTTTAATATTCTTATTGATGTTCTTTAGCAGATATTCGGGGACAGGACTGCTCTCTGGTACTAAGAGATGATTTCCAGTAACCACAAAGAATTTGATGCAGTGACATTGAGCTAACCTGTTTGCAGTTAACAATGGCAACATTTTCTTGCATCTTAGTTGCTTTTTGATCTCCCCGGAGAGTCACTATCTCATGCCTGTGATGATACCCCAGTTATTTACTATGTTGGCATCTGCAAAGTCACAAATTCAGCACTCTGGATTAATTGCAAGTTGGTTTATCAAAAAAAAAAAAAAAAAAAAAAGATTGAGTAATGAGGGGAACTGCTCAGATGCCAAAACACTAATATATTATTTTTAAAAGAGCTCAAGGGAATGGAGCAAGAAGCATATAAAGACTTATGTATTTGTCCCTATGGCAAAGGATAACCTTAGAAAAATTATTTAGATAATCTGATGTCAGCATTATCTAAAAATGATTTAGCAATTT